GTGCGTCGCGCACGCCGCGCGGTGCTGCGCCGCCAAACAGACAATGGCGTCCTGTGGCGCGGTCCAACGACAAAGGGCGCCACCTCCACGAAGCGCCGCCCATTTCCAACATCCTCGTCGTTGAAAGCGGCTGTGTGGCACGAATACTGGCTGGTGAAGGCTCGAGAACGTTGCGACGTCGCACGATGTTGCTTGTTCGATTTCCCCCACTGTAACGGCATCGGTGCAAACGGGGAATGTCGGATGTACGAGAAAACGAGACACGACCACGCCAGCGTGTCGCTAGCTCCACCCATAGACACGCTCAGGCGAAACGGGACGCTGGTCGGTCTCGCAGCCACCTCGGCTTCGGCGACTTTGCCCGGCAGCGCAGGAACCTCGTCGGGCTAGCTGAGCCTGCTGTTAGAAAGAGAAACGAAGAAGGAAAGAGAAGACAGCCCGATAGAGAGGGAGATCGTACGGTTGGGAGTGTGTTGAGCGTGAGGGGTGGGGGTGCCGAAATCGTGCGGCAGGGATCTTCGCATGAAGGAAGGCAGACTCTGATGGTCAATCGGGCGCCGCGCACCGCAGCAGTGACGCGTCACTGCACCCCTGTTTTCGAGTTGCACGTGTTTCTTTCCTCTTCACCGACGCTCACGTTCAATTGTCCTCTTCTAGTTTTCCTTGGTCAGCTTGCCGCGATAACGACCGATAAACACAGTATACGAGACTCGCCCGCCCGAAAATACCGAAATAGTCGTTGCCGATGGTAGAGAGCAACGTTGTTCTCGCGACGCGGTCATTCTATCACGTTCCGTCGAACCTCGTCTCCGATCGCAGACCACGGGTCTCGTTCGTGTTTCTGTGAACGACGAATCGTTCATCGTCATTGTCGTCGTCGTTGTCGTTCCGTGGTTGTCGATTTTCCCTGTGCCGATTTGCAACACAGGAGGCAATCTTCGTTTTAGATCGATTCGCAGCTAAGCTGCAGTGGTGAATTCCGTTACGAGCATTTCGCGCCACTTCCGTTTTAAACTGTGCAATTCTCAGTGATCAGTGAGACCGTTTCCAAGAAGATCTACGATACGTACAGCGAGATTCGTCTGTTTTCGAAGTCGTGGCGAATCGAGCCGCTCGAATAGTTCCGCTGGTCGAGCTGCGTTCAAAAAGTGTTGTGAACATCCCGCGGAGACACGTAGCTGCGGATTGTGCTTTTAGCTGGTGACTGGATCCGGCCTGACCACGGCCATTCTCGACACGGTACGTTTATTAGTTTTAATCGTTCGATAAATTTCGATGTGTCAGTCGTGAATGTAAATTTTCATAGAGATGATTATACGTTATTGGAAGACACAGGTTAGAACGCGCGAAGTTACAGTGCATATGCATATGCATAATTAAGCCGTGGTATGATTTCTTATCTCTTTTATGTAAATTTCATGTATTTCCTAATATTTAAGAATGTAAAAGTAGGTTTGCCTGATGTTAATTATCAAGCACTTATAACGGCTGATCCTAAAGCAAGTTACATTTACAACTGCTTTTGCGTCTTCTTCAATTTAACTGGAAATAGGCGCGAAATTTAAAAATTCACGTATGGTATGAAACTTGTCGGTTATCAGGATCCGGCGGTCAATGATATCTTGTAAGAATTTCCTCTTCTGTAAACATTATCGCATAGAAATTGAATGATATGGCATTCTTTTGCTATTTTATAGCGAAAAGTTATAAAACGTTATTTATTTCGCAAAATTACATCTTTAAAGTTTTGTATCGGTGATTGCCGACGGATTCGTTACTAGGTTGTTAAATAGTTAATTGTGAAAGTATTTCAGTTGCAAGGAAGGAAAATAGCGTTAATAATATTGTATATCTTAAAAATAGAAAGTGCTTTTACTTTTCTTCCACATTTTTTCATATTTTTATTAAATTCAAGTAGCACTGATTTCCTCTCATATTATCTTTATGATAAATTTCTTTATAACAAAGCTTTACGTTAAACCACTTACAATCTTGCGATCATCACTATAAAAGTTGTTTTATATTTTATGCGTTTCTAAAAGCAATAGAGCCAAATATTTTTATATACAGAAGTCATTCGTTAACGTTGTGCAACTTTTTCTTATCAATTTACCGTCAATTACAAGCTCGCTAATTATTCACTGTATCCTGCGATATATTTTCTATAAAAGAACACAGATGAAACGTAAGCTAATAATTTACGAAAATACCAAACAGTCGATCCGAGTTTGTAAAACAAAGTGCATTTCTGTGAGCAGTAAATCCTTTAAGTAAAGTGCTTTGCAACTGCTATAGCCGCAAGTGATACTATACCTTATTTTACGCCTTGAGCCAATGAAACTGATTGCTCGTTCCGAATCGTCAATGGACTAAATTTTTTCGCGTAGATTCGCCCATGAGAAACTGTAATAAACCAGAATAGACGTAATAACTTGAAATGCCGACGGCATAACGCTTAGCCACAAATTGCGCGAGCCACAATAGCGCTGTTAACACTCCTGTAGCTTATTGTGATCGCGGAAAAAACGCTGTCAATTGAAAGTGAATTGCATCGGGTTTATACCGTTCGAGGGATTAAATAATGCAGCCGCTACGCTTTGTTATTTGCCGGTGAAAATTTGCCGAGCATCCAAATTACCTTTTTCACGTGAAATCGAGGAAATTAAGGTTATCCGCTGTGATTCGTTGAAATTAAGATAAACGAGGCGGGACACTATAAAGTTCTTCACCAAAATCGTTGTTGAAAAGACATTGATAAGAAGCTTGGTTAAATGTCCGAAGTAGCAAAGAATTAAAGATTAAATATGATACTTTCTAATTATAATGAATTCTAGATTATGTGGTAGAAGTCTGTACGTAATAAATGTATAGATGAATTTGAAACGATGTTACATGTCAAATAAGTAAAGCACATCTACTCTGATTGTTATTGATAAAGTGATTTAGATAAGATAAATTGAAGAATTTGCCGACTATATCAAGTATCAAAATGAAGTCTAGTAATTATCAAAGAATAAACCTTCGTCGTATTACGAATAGCAAACGATCGTTTCATATCTTGAAAATGGATCTTCCTTCGTTTCGCGAGAGATATCTTTCGAAGAACAACACGCTGTTAAATCAATTGTAGAACGACGGAACGACGATGGCAGGTTGGAATTTCCGTACGGCGCCGTTTCGCGTTGATTGAGCTTCCGCCGTTGATATTTTCATCTCATTATACTTTCAAAATTTCGGAACCGCGTGCGCGAACGTGCTAGTATATTTCGAACGAATAAAACAAATTTTCCCTTTATGAATAATTTATGCCATCGTCGGCGGAATTAGGGATCGCGGGCCACGATGGCGCGCGGACACGGCGAACACCTGTCCGCCTTTATTATTTTTACACGAACGCCGACTCGTCTGCGAGCGAGCTGCAGAGGTGGGGAAAAAAGAAACATCGCGCGCGCTCATTGAAAGTGATACAATCTCGGAAAATAACAGATGTCCCCTCGTTGCTTTCGAGTGCTCGACAAAGAAACGCTTTCGTCTACCTCTGAGATTTCACGTAAAGCCCTTTGTTGTACTTGAACCGCTCCAGGCTGAAGAGACAACCGGCCTGTCGTAGGAAATTTACCGATCCAAATCATTTACTAATTCTATGCACCTTTCTTCTCTTTACAAATTGTGGCTACTAACGGCTTAGCGTGTAGAAAAAAATCAAAGGACCCTAACCGCAATCTAATTTTTAAATATGACCCACCAACATATATACAAAGTTATATTAGGATATACAGGATATACAAAGTTTAGTTTTCAGATTGGGGAAGCCGTAAATGAAAATCTTATTGAGAGAAAACAAATTTTTAGTTTCTTTCTGAATCTCACGATGTTCTACAACAAAATTCCTATAATATTTTTGATCATCATCATCTTCGCTAAAAACAACATTTGCGCTGAAGCGGCATTGAAAATTAGTAACAGAAAAGAAAAGAAAGTATACAACATATTGGATTTTACAATTTGCCTAATACATATCGTGAAAATCACCATGAGAAATCAGCACGCGTATAATGACAGTTTAGTTTTTATCTTCTTATAATTTGCAATGCGTTGAAGGTCTTTAGCACGGTCTATTATGTGCGTGGGAAGTGTTGTTTTGCGTGCCATCAGTGCATCGTCTCGAAGTTATCGTTCATTCCGCCTAACGAGATGCAACCTGTCGGAGAGATGTGATGTTCAGTACCGCACGAAGTTAGCCGTGGGTCGTATGCTTCTAACGAGAGTAGTTGCGGCTCGTTTTCTCGCTTTCCTTCGCATTCCGCGTCCGACGGTCCTCGAACAGAGGCATCGTAATTTCATGTTTATTTACTGTGCGTCCTGAACCGAAAATTGTCAGGCATTAGGTTAATGTACAAAAATCCTCTTTGCATTTAACGATCTCTCGTTAACGAGGCCACAAAATCGCGAAATATTTTTCACCGGAAGTCGTTTTCGCCGAAAGGAAAAGCGTGCGCCCACCTGTATTTAATTGTAAATCGAGCGTCGAGGATGTCGTTACGCGTTGGACCCGTCGCTTTGAAACTTGTTTTTTCGTCCCGTTGCGAGAAAGCGACGAAACCTTACCCCGTGGTAATTTTTCGCGTAAAGTGTCTCAGACTGACTGGCTAACGAAACGAAGTAATTTAATGTGTCGCAGACTCTTCTAAACACGCGACGTAGGAGACCCAAGAAACCGAGTACATAATTAATAAATTTTGTGCAGATTTAATTTCTGTGAGAATTTAAACACGCTTATACTTAACACACTATACCGGGTGCATTCTGGCTCACCGAATAATACATTTATGTAGGTATGTATCTCTGTGTCGATTAATTTCTTCCTTTTTTTTTTTTTTAACTGAAGATATATTAACGAATTCGTTATTAATATATTTAATTTCAATTATCTGCGATTTAAAATCATGAGATAATACAGGAATAGAGGAGAGTCAACGATATATTACTCTTAATTCGTGGATTTTGGATTGGTGGTTTCTGCTGAACAAAGTTTCAATAGCAGGAGCAATGAACGCGATAAATAGTACCGTATTACGTTTCATAATCTGATAGTCGCGCTGGGTATTTGAAGTAAATGTGGTGTTTAGCGCGATACAATGCGTTGTAACCTATAATCAGTCGATGTCGGTGTACAGCTTGCACATTTTGATCGAGCCGGATCGTCGTCTATAACCGTCCAGTGACCCCCTTCATCGTGACGTTCCCGCGATGCAGATGAAAGGAGCTAATGATCTACGAAGCGGACCGAAAACCATAATTAACACTTATCGTAACCGCGACGTGATTAACCGTGATGAACGAAAGCGACGGTGGAATACGCGTAGGTGTGCGTCCGCGTCGCACGTTGTAAACTCGCCTTCGGACGAGCTGTCCCGATCGCCAAAGAGCATATTACCGACGACGTAAACACTGTGCTGACCGCAACCATCTCGGCTGTGCAAGAGTTAAATTACACGGTCGATAGTAAAAGCTCTTCTTGCTTTCAGCGGAACAAACGATTTCGTGCGTCAACACACGCTGATCACGTTTGAACTGTGCATCATGCGACGTTTTGTTAGCGTTGTAAATGGGCTAGAATGTAATTCTGCAGATCTGGTTTCGCGATATACTTAGTTTTCTACTAGGGCTGCTTTAATAGCTATGTATATGATCAGAGGATGCTGGTTTATCTTGACAAAGAATTTCTTTTTTATCCACAGAAAAAGGTATCTGTTTGTTTTAGTCTTTTGATTTTTTTCTGTAGTTCGTATAGGATGTGTTATATCATTATATATGTACATTAATTTAGGCGATTGTTTAGTAGAACATTGTAAATGAATAAAAGTAATATAAGTGTTATAAGATATGCATGATTTTCTTAATCAAAGTGATCATCCTAATCTAGATTCTTCATATGATAAAACAGCAGTTATGTAAAGCAAAAATGGTTTGTAGAATGTAGTGACATCTAGTAACGACATTTGATGTTTTCTCATATCGCAGCGAGTGTCTCTTACAAACACATACATAAACACGATGATGAGAATGAGAACCTCAAATAAACAATTAGAATCTAACAATCAGAAATAATGTTCACATAGCAACTGACGTTGTAACGAGTAAAATTTTTTTCGTACGCAAAATACAACGCGTCGCGTGTGTTTTTGATCCGCTTTTCGATCGCAATTTCGAAACAACGGTAGAGAGCGACGAACGAT